AGTGGTGCATTCAGATGCCAAGATTCTCCTAAAATACAGTGATCTTATGTAGGTCATTTACTTAGTCTTGAAGCCATCCCCAGACTTTTTACTATTGTTGAAAGTGTTCCCTGGGATGTGGAGACAGATGTGTGGTGCAACCCTGGATTTGTCTGAGATGTTTGCAGGCTGGGAGGGCAAGTAGGGTATCCTGGAGAGGAAAATGCTCACATTTTCCTGCTGGGAAATGCTGGGCAGGGCTGTGGGGGATGGAACATGGTGAGCACAGCTGTGTCTGAAGGGGGGACCCTGTTTTGCAGAAGAGGGAGACTGGAGGAGAGGATTCCTGGCTTCCCTTGATCTGCACAGAGTGTCCTACCAGCCCTTCAAAGAAAAACACCCCATTCCTGGGTCTCCTCCAAGAAAGAACTTCTGGGAATTTCCTGAATTGCAGCATCCCTAAGAGTTTGCCTGTAATATTTGCTTTGCTTGGCTGCGTGATTGGCAGCATGGACACATCACATTCACGTCAGAGCACCTGAAATGCTGTCCCTGCTTCCCAGGAAAGCAGCCTGCTTTATTGGACTGCAGTGAGGGATTTCCTTGGAGGTGAAGAGGGAAGGGAGCTCGATGAGTAAAAACAAATATCAGAACAATGAAAGCTAGAAAGCGACTGTCTAGGATATTAATCTCTCAGCCCCACTGTTATTTAGGATTTTTCACAGAGTATTCTGAGGTGGAAGAGACTAAACCATCTCTCCAGCAGAGGAAAATTGAGGAAGGTGTTTCCAGGTCTCTGAGCCCTCTGTTCACAGGTTTTCTTGTTGCTGTTGAATACAAGTGAAGTTGCAAAAACCACATTTAAATCCTTCATTTTATCCTAATTTAGGAGGCCATCTAAGACATGTTCATCTCATGGCTTTGTTCCTCTCTTTGGAATTTGACAGAAACTGAGCTCTTAACACAGAAAGCGAAGCTCATAGATGGAACAGAGGAGCCAAAGAGTCCCATCCCCTCTGGATCCCACTAATTGCACCCTGGAGAGGGGCCAGCTGAACTGAACACCCAAACTTGATAAAAAACATTAGAAAAGGATGTTTTGGGAGAGACCAGCTGTATTTATTTGGTGTGTAAATTAACCTGAAAATACACACTCTTCACTTCAAATCTTGTCATGCAAACCCTGTGAGTTTAAGCTGTTGTTCTGAAACTCAGTAGCCCTAAATTATATTTGCTCTGAACCTGGGGTGGAACTCGGTCCAGAGCAGAGTTCCTAAAGTCAAATTTGACTGGAAATATGGGCTGATTCCCCATCCTGCAATAACCCAAGGAGCAGGCCCTAGGGTAGCACACAAGCCAGCTCCCGTGCTGGGGTCAGGCTGATTTCTTTTCTTTTGGACTGAAAATATTTAGGGTTTTCTTAGAAATGACTTTTTCCACAGCAAACTCATAGCTCTTGAAAAATGAAAGGGTTTGAGAGCGCAATAAAATCTTTCTGTTGTTATTTTTTTTTCTTCCAATATGAAACACCCCTGCCAGCTCCCCATCCTTTTATTTCTCACAAATGTTCTTTTACCGAGCAGCACTCTTTCCATTAAATGTTTTCAGGCTATGCCATTCTCTTGGAGCTGCGTTTCCACCAGCATCTGTGCTGCCCACATGAGGAAAACCAGGGCTGATCAGGGATGTGCTGTAGTGCCAGGTGGTGACAGCGACCAGGGGCCAGCAGGGACGTGCTGAAAGGCTGGGTTGGACATGAGCACACTCAGCCAGCACAGGCAACGCTGCAGGGCGTCCCTGAGCAGGGGGTAAACTCACGTGGCAGTATTTAGGGTAGGCAGCACACGGGGTTTGCCCTACGTGGAGTTTGATTTATTATTTCATGACTGAAATTTGACGTAATATTGCATGCGTGCCAACGTGTGTGTGCTACCCCACGTGTGATCCAAATGGTGTGGCCAAACTGTTAAAGCAATTCCTCCTTACTTCGTTAGCTCCTTCTGTTAAAAACACTAAAAATGCCTGTGCTTTCACAGAGAAGTTAGCAACCTCCATGTGCTGCACAGCAGATGGTGCAGTAATGGTGGAGGCGTATTTTACAATAACCCTTTTCCACAGGGGGAAATCGAGGCATTGAGAAGTCTCTTTCTGATGGCTGAGTGTCAGGGGTGGAGAAAAACTACAGGGCTGCAGGAGATGGTGAAACAGTGCCCTGAGCTTTACAGGCTGAGCTCATCCAAACTCCAGCTGCTCTGCTTCCATCAGTGGACTCTTCCAAGGTCAGGAGGAGTAAGAGGTTATTTCCACAAGACAACCTGGACTGCTGCATATTGAGATCTCCCTCCAGAAGTCCCTGCCCTCCCTCTAAGGGCTGTAAAGGGCTGTAGGAAGCCAATGGGCAAACACCTCCTGTTTTAATCACCTTGGCAGATGCCTACAGCTGAGTGGGATCTCAATAATGCCCAGGGAAGGGTCTGAGCACCATCCCCCAGCAGACCAGTGCAGAACCCCAGCCATGCAAAGTTCCTCAGCATCAGAGTGGGGATTCCTGATGGGAACAGCTGCCGAATTCCTCAGGAGCTTAGTGGTTTAACCCCAGTGGGCAGCTCAGCCACACAGCTGCTCACTCACTCAGCAGCGAGGGGGAGGAAGTTGGAAGGGGAAAAGTCCTCCCAAAGGCCAGAGCACTTTTGTATAAATCTTGCCTCAGATAATTCTGAAAGAAAATACATTTGTAAATGCCAAAATTTCCCAATGGGCTCCCTACAGGGAGGCAAGGGAGCCAGCTCAGCTACTAAGTTCTGCCTCGTGAATAGCTGTGCTAATAATAGCCACTGAAATTAGATCAAACCACAGGACAGTGACAGTAACAGCTCCGAATTTTCAGAAGAGCTGAATGACTTGTGACCACACCTTTTCCAAAGGCTGGCTATGAATGGCACAAGAGGAGCTCTTTAATGCTGATCCCTCCTCAAAAGCTGGGCTTGACAACAAATGCTAAGCCCCTGGGATAGCTGACCCTCCAGTCTTCCAGAGTGTTACCGTTGATTATCCCAGACTTGAGTGCTGAACTTTACAGCAGGACATAACTGAGCAGCCAGCCCAGAAGTGAGATGTTATCAGTGACTCCAGTTGGGAGTTAAACACTGATAATGACATCTAAGATGAATTTATCACTGCATTTCTGGTTGCTTTCTCCTACACCAGAGATATTACTTAGGAGGAGCTATGTAAACTCATCTGAACTCAAACAGGGTGTGCAGTGATGGGGGAGAATATGTCAAATATTGTGCGATTTTGGCCCCAACACTGTGCCAATGCTACTTTTATTTCACATTTTTACATGTCTCCATCACCACACACCCTATATGCGAGCAGTACCCGGTGTGATCCAGCACATTCAGGTGCTGGGATGGGCTCTCCCAACCCCCTGGGTCTGGGCAGTGAGGAGCATTGGCTGTGAGGGCTGCTGCTGTCCTTAGCTCTGTGTCTGCTCACATCTGTTTTGAATGAACTGTAGAGGCAAAGCCACCCCTCTGAAGGTGCTGCACCTGTCCCCATTCTCCCCACTCAGCCATCCCTTAGGACCCTGTCACCTTTGCTGATCCCCGTGTCCAACGGGGTGCAGCATCGTCCCGGAGAGTGACTGGGCTGCCTGGCAGCAGCTCCTCTTCCCTCACCATCTCATTCCTCTGCAAGGGACATGCTGGGGACCCATTGCTCCTCACTGTTGGCTGCCAGGGGAGTGAGGATGAGGAGGATGAAGTGCTCAGCCCTGCCCATCCCCAGCAGGACACGCTGTCCGAGGGAGTGCTGCAGCTATTTCAGCTGGAGGAGCCGGCTCGGAACCAGCAGCGAGGGGAGGATGTGCTGCAGTCATAAAAATTCCACCGAGATAAATCAATAGAGGGAGGAGGAGAATGAGAGGGAGGGATGGCAAAGTCAGACTTTCCTCATCTCTGCACACAAAAGAGAGGGAGGGATGGGGGTCATGCAGGTTCAAGAGGAGTGGAAGGGACCAAAGATCACGTCAGGAGCTATCGGGAGCAGGTGACTGACTGCAGCACACACTGGTGGAACTGGATCTGGGGTCTGGTTCAGACAGCTGCTGAGTGCCAGACTTGTTCCTGCGTGGCATTAATTAGCACCTTCTCAGGCAGGCTGGAAAAGAGTTTAAGGAGCAAACTGACTTGCAGCAGCGAGCAGCAGAGTGGTGGGCTAATGGTGTGGGCTACTGCCAGTCCAACCCAGGCAGGAGCTGCCTCCCAGAACTGCCAGTTATCCATGAGCTAGGACACACTGTCTTAGCAAAACTGAAGGCCCTTATTGTGGTGGAAATTCTCTTTTCTGTCAGTGAAAGACAGGATTTTTAACTGGTTGCACCCAGAGCTGGGACCATGCAGCCCCAGCTTTCTTTTCTACTCTCCAGCAAGGGGTACCCACCCAAGGACCCAGAGTGCTCTGGGTTTTCCTCTGAACCCTTTGCAGTGTAAGTCCTGTAGCAGGGGGTGGATTGTCGCTGGATTTATGCACAGCACTACTATTGCTCTGTGTGCAAATTAGGTGTGTGGAACAGGGCTGGGCTGTACCTCAATAAATAACAGAAAGAACTTTCTGCTCGCCTTCTCTGCTAAGCTGGTGAGCAGCTTTCCCACCTGTGATAGAAAGGTGTAGCTGAACTTAAGGCTGGATTCAGCCAACATCCACACTGCCCCTTCATGTCTGTGCTTAAAAGGAGCATTGAGTTGAGTTGCCAGGAGGAAGCCCAAGGTCTTCTTTGTATGGTTCTGGTTTTCCAGGCTCAGCACACCAGTAAACACAGAGTCTTTGGCTCTTCCTAAGTGTGCCATGGATGTCCTGGCCCTGAGCTAATGGTGAGCCTGGAAAGGTGTCAGTGGTCACCAGCACCTGCTCCCAGACTGAGAAAATAAATTTCCTGGCTGTGATTGCCTGCAGGCCAGAGGAGCAGGCTCTGCTTGGCCTGAATCCCTCTCAGAACATTCCACTCTTGTCTTTCCCAGGAATACACCATTGACATCTTCTTTGCTCAGACGTGGTACGACCGGCGCCTGCGGTTCAACAGCACCTTGAAGGCGCTGACGCTGAACACCAACATGGTGAGCCGCATCTGGATCCCTGACACCTTCTTTAGGAACTCCAAACGGGCTGATTCCCACTGGATAACCACTCCTAATCAGCTCCTCCGCATCTGGAATGACGGAAAGGTGCTCTACACCCTCAGGTACATCCAGCAGGCTCTGCTGAGGGGAGGGAACAAAGAGATGGTCAAGTGGTTCCCTAAATTAAAATCCTTTATAATGTCATCTTGGTCAGTCCAGCTATTTTATTCTGTTAATAAACATTCGGATCTTTGTTCCCATAACTTCTCACTTCCATAAACGAATCTGAAAAGTTGACTAAACAGAAGGGCTTTTTGAAGGTGAAACTTAGATGTTTTTCCTCACCTTGAAAATATCCAAACATATATTTTTGGTTTGGAATGTTCCTGCAAACAGACTGATCTTCAGCAAATTAGTTCTCAGGGAAGTGAGAATGCCTCTGTCACATTTAGGTGTTGGAATCAAACCATCTTCACCAGCTCAAAATCTCTTTCTCTCTCTCCCTGTCTCAGGCTGACAATCGAGGCTGAATGTCTGCTCCAGCTGCAGAATTTCCCAATGGACACCCACTCCTGCCCTTTGGTTTTTTCCAGTTGTGAGTATACATATTTTTAAGATAGCTTTAGAAGGTGAGCAGAGAAACCTCTGTGGAATAATACTTTCCTGGGGTAACCATCCTCCCTTGTAGCTACGTTTTTTCACCTAATTTCTATGGCACCCTTCCTGAGCTATTACCCTTCATGGCCTGAAGCTTCCTCCCACTCCTGGGCTAGCAAAGGTCATCAGGGACAGATTCACAACATCTCTGAGTTTCTCCTTAACTGGGGTGGATGGTTGGAGGAGATTATTTCACGGACCTTCTGGTCACTCCAGACAGAACACGGATATATTCTGGTGGACAAATGGCACCCGTCCTGCCTTGTGTCTTCCCCTTCTCCTCTGAGTGAGGTCTGAAAACGTTCTGCTCCAAAGGAGGGTTGCTCAGACCTCCCCTCTCAGCCACTACTCCTCCAGACTCTTCAGCAGAGAGGCCTTCCCATGTTATCACATCTCCTCTGGTAATTTTGCAGGGAGCTTTTCTGCACCAAGAGATCTCTGTCCTTGTGCGTGGGTGGGAAATCTGATTTAATCATCTGAGCTCGGGTTCTCCTGCTTCTCCTGCCACTGAAGAGATGCAGCTCTGAGCTCTGAGGTGCTTCAGAAGGAGGCAGCATGCTGAGGAGATCTCATCCCTTCATGTCCCACCACTCCTCATTCTTTGCTAATTAATGGTGCATGCCGTACACGCTTGATAATTAGAAACACGCTGTTAGTTAGCTGCCAAGCTCTTACTCCATCCTCCTCCAAGGGCCTTACTCCTGGGTCCCTGCTTCACAGCAGGCTTGTTTCTTTATCAAGAAAGCCAGAGGCAGGAGAAGCTATGCTGCAGCCTGCAGGGCCAGGTTTTCTTCTCCATGGGGAGTGCGCCCCTTCTTTTCCACAGATCAGCCCCGAGGGCAAGAGGTACAGGGAGCACACAGAGCAGCCAGAACCATGCTGGCAGCTTCGTATTCCTGTGTACTCAAGCCTGGGATTGCAGTCATGAGGTGCCAGCAGCCCCAGGGAGCTAAAACCCTTCAAGATTTCAGGCTGGTGGAGTCACAGAACCGCAGAACACTCGGGGCAGGAAGGGGCCTTTGGAGATCATCCAGAACAGTCCCACGGACAGGCAGAGTCACCTAGAGCAGGTCACACAGGAATGCAGCCAGGTGGGGCTCTGAATCCAGAGTTTTGACTCCAGAATCGTGGGAGAGAGACTCCACAGCCTCCCTGGGCACAGTGCTCTGCCACCCTCTGAGAAGCTCTTCCTCAAACCAGCAGAGTCTTCTTGGACCAGCCCACATCTAATTCCCAGCAGTGCAGTCCTTAGAAAGGCTCTGTTTCTGTGCCTTCCCCATCCCCGGATCTGAAGCCCACGAGGGAAGATGCAGTCCCTACTCCCATTCCGTGTGGGAATGCCTCAGGGAATCAAATCAAAAGGCACCAGAAACCTGCCTGAAGGGTTCATGTTTGCAGAACAGCCCTGGTGAGGTGCCAGTGCTCCTGCAGTCAGGGTGGTGCCTGAGGTGGGGGTACCTGGCATGCTCTTCCACTGATGCCTGTGGATGGATTTTCCCAGATGGATACCCTCGGGAGGAGATTGTCTATCGCTGGAGACGCTACTCCATCGAGGTCTCTGACCAGCGCACCTGGAGGCTCTACCAGTTCGACTTCACGGGGCTGAGGAACACCTCGGAAGTCCTCAGGACTGGGGCAGGTGAGACAAGGGCAGGCAGCCCACAGGAGCACCTGTGCTGGAGGCCTAGTGGGAGGCAAAGGAGTGGGGATGGAACAACAGCATGGTCAGAGAAAAAAAACTAAAAATGAAGGATTGGACCACTTGGAGCAGAAGTGATGGGGGTGAAGGGTGAGGAGAAGATGGAGCAAGGAGAGGCCAGAACCACTGAGATCTGTGAACTGTGGGGTGACAGTGCTGATGTAAATGAAGCTATCCCTAGGGTCAGGAGGGAGAGGAGAGGGAACTTGAATCCCCTCTTGTTGCAGTGTGTGCACACTGTGTAATCTCTGGGTGCTGCTTATGACTGGAACGGGGGTGGAGAAATCACAACTCACAGGTCTTGATCTTTCCTTCTGTAAACTTGTGTCAGGCTGATGAACGCTTGAGCTGTGCTTTAAGAGACAGGGACAAGGCTGCATGTGTGAAGAAACTAAATAATGGAAGCCCTTCAGCTCCTCCTCCTCCTCATAATAGCTCACATCCCCTTTCCTTCCCACAAAACAACTGAGGAAAGCCTCTGGATTCCTGAAGGTGGAGTGAGCTCATACTTTTAAGCCCTCTGAAACTGCAAGGAGCAGTGCTTCTCCCACTCTGCAGGAAGCTGCTGCTCTCAACAGTGGCAGCCAGGGTAGAAAGGCAGCACAAACTGGGACAAGAAGTGAAAGTGTCTTGAATGCACCAGCGGCCCTCTGATGCTTGTAATTCTCTTTTTTTGGTAATTGCTTGCAAGCTCCATCTTAACCCCAGAGCTGTCAGGTGGCTTTCTTCCAATATTCACTGTGAGCCTCTGAAAAAAGAAAGAACTGCCACTGTAAGTTGCCAAATGAGCAATTAGGATGTACAGCAGCACATGCCTTTCCCAGAGGCAGAACCAGACTCTCAGTGGAAGTGATTGAAGGACACCTCCTTTGTCACAGCTCAGGTAGTTGGTTAGCAAGCCAGGCCGTGCAGCCTGTTACAGCCAAAGAGCTTCTATAGAAAAGAAACCCTCACAGCAATCAGCTGAAGATAAATGCTGCCTGCAGTTCCTTCCCTGAAACTTTTCCAGACTCTGTGCTTTTCAGTGTCCCTAGCCAGGCCAGTAGGAATGCAGCCTGCTGGCCATATGGGCAGCCAGGCAAACAGCCAGTTGGGAACCACAAAGTCAGCTCTGAAATTAGTCACAAAGGCATCAAGCAGCTCAGCTACAGAGCCAGCCAGGTAGCCACAGAATCCAACCAGCCACAAAACCAGCGAGTCACCAAACCTACTCAGCCAGCCACGTTAACAATCTGGGCAGCTATGAAAACAGATGGACAGGCACTTAATGAGAAAACCTCATCAGAAACTCCAAATTCTAAAGCTTTGCTCCTTTTTCTGCTCTAGGAAGCCCCATGTTACGATTCCAATGTCTCTGTTGCTTTTTCCTAGGGGAGTACATGGTGATGACAGTGTCTTTTGACCTAAGCAGACGTATGGGTTACTTTGCCATTCAGACCTACATTCCCTGCATCCTGACTGTTGTTCTTTCCTGGGTTTCCTTCTGGATCAAGAGAGACTCCACGCCAGCCAGGACATCTCTGGGTAAGAGACAGGATGATGCATGTCTGATGCTTGTCAAACTATGCCAGGCAAGCAGACTGGCAGTGTTGGACTACAAAATCTCCTGAAGCACTTTGCCATTTTCTGGCATTTTTGAGCTTACCAGAGAATATTCCCTTCCTTCAGCTTCCTGTGTGTAACACTCCACAGCTCAACCAAACCTCCAGCTGTGCTGGCTTGGGCTGCTGGATTATCTCAGGAGAGCATCTCACTCTCATGGCTTCATCTGAAACCCAAGCACAGCCTTTTCCAAGCTGGCAATGGGATATTCTCATGCACCAAAAGGGAGAGGGAGGGGCTGAGCTGTGGCATTGCAGTGCTGCCCAAAGCACTGCACATTTTTCACGTTTCCTCACAACTTTTCAAGGTTTCTGTGTAGGGCTGCTGACAGGAATGTTGTAGGGTCAATGGGCAGAGTTGCTTGGCTGCACGCACAGAGCCCCAGGCTCTGGCAGGAGCTGGAAGCTCTGTAGGTACAGCCTTCTTCTGTCAGTCACCCCACAGGACCCAGAGAGTAGCTCTGCCTATTGTTTAGATTTTTCTCAGCAAACTGCTCCTTGAGGCAGGAGAAACACTTCTGTTGATTGAATGCTGCTCTGATAGGTGCTGGGGAGATCTTTCTGAGTCTTTAATACGCTTTGGCTGCATCTGCATTTTGCAGCAAGCTGTGATTCCCAGCTCTGTCCTTCCTGTCAGCCCCGCTGACTTTGCCTTTAATTGGAGGTAGCATTCCCAGCCCTGCTTGCAGGTCTCTGTGGAGAGGAGAGGAGGGGCCATAAGCTATTCAGAGCCCATCCATGATGGCCATGCCTCCTCACCTCCCTCTCAAATTAATTAGTTTGGTGCTCATGGAGAGAGGAGGAGGAGGAGGGTGTCATTTCCAATGAAGGTGAGGGTGTGCCATAGTCTGTGGCTGGTAAAGGAAAGAACAGCGAGAAGAAAATGTGCATGGTTCTAGTAACTGTCTCAAAAACCAAAGGCAAGTTTCCCCAGGAGAGGGGCCAGTCTCTATGGGAGGGGACTACAGCCCATGAAGAATATTGTATTCTCTCCACAGCCCCTGCTGTACTTAATAAAAGTGATCCCCAGCACATTTTGAGGCTGCCAGCCTACATTAGGGAGATGTACACTGGACCAGTTCCACTGGCACTTCAAAAATATGGGAAGTCACATTACATCTCCTAATGCAAGTATGGCAGGAAAACATGAAAATCTTTCGCCTTGCTCACCCCCAGAGCCACTGAGGTGACCTCAGGAAAGGGTGGCAAGTGGATTTAGGTGGATGCTAGAGAAGAAGCAGGTGGACTTCCTGCTTCTTCCCCACATCCTGAAAATCAGCGGAGGAGATCACAATACCAACTCCTGTAGCTGATCCTTTGCTGGCTCCCGACACTTCATCTCTGGAAGCAGAAACGTGAGCATTGCTGCTTCTGCAAAACCAATTCCAGGCCCCACTCATGTCAAAAGAAATTCCTTATCACCTCCTACGTGATACTTGCCCTCTGCATCAAGGAATGGATCGATTGTGAAGAGCTGTCTCTGAAGAATAGCCAGGAGCATTGAAAATTTATGGGTAGGAATGGGACCAAGGAAATGAAGGGAACCTTTATGTGGCAGGTACCTACTACAGGGCAGCCTGGTGACCAGGGAGCAGAACAGCACTGGCAGATTTTTCAGGAATTTTCCAAAGAGCACAAGGGTTCTCAATCCCCGGGTGTAGGAAATCAGGAAAGGAAGGCAAGAGACCAGCATGGATGTGTCAAGAGCTTCTGGTCAGACTAAAGGGTGAGAAGGAAATTCACAGGCAGTGGAAGCAGGGACAGGTATCCTGGAAGGAATACAGGGACACTGCCCAGTTGTGTAGGGATGGCGTTAGGGATGCAGAGGATGCTCACAGGGGCTTCTCCAGGTTTGTCAGCCAGAAAGGGAAGGTCAAAGCAGGTTGAATACCACTGCCAAACTGGTAGAAATGGACAAGAAAGAGGCTGAGGTACTTTTTTGCCTCAGCCTTCACTGGCAGCCTCTCTCCCCACATCGCACAGTGGATGGACTGCCAGGTGGGGACTGGAGCAGCAAAGTCCCTCTCACTGCAAGAGATCAGCTTTGAGACCACCTGAAGAGCCTGAACATCCATAAGCCTATGGAACTGACAAGATACATCCCAGAGCATGGCTGATGTGGTTTCCAAGCCATTCTCCATGATACTTGAAAGGTCATGGCAGAAAAGGGGAAATATTGGACCCCTTGTCTCAAAGGCTAGACAGGAGGACCCCAGGAACTACAGAACTGTCAGCCTCCCCTGAGTGCCTGGGAAGATTGTGGATCAGATCCTTCTAGAAGCTGTGCTGAGGCACATGGAGGACAGGAGGTGAGGGAAACCCTGCCTGACCAGCCCAGCCTCAGGCAGAGTCTCAGTCTTCCACTCGTTCACCAGTCCACATTGACAGTCTGTGCCATACCTGAGTTTTGAACATCATTCCTTTTCACAGAGCATGGGCAGAGGGTTCCTCAAGACCACAGTGTGGATGAGCAGAGCCAAAATAGGACCAAACAACCAGAGCAGATGGAAAATGGGGCTGTTTTGAGGAGTGGATGGGTGTAGGAGACAGAAGTGCTCCTTGTCACTACTCAAGCCAGCTGTTTTCTCTCTCAGGTATCACCACTGTGCTCACCATGACCACCCTGAGCACCATCTCCCGCAAGCACCTCCCCCGTGTTTCCTACATCACAGCCATGGACCTCTTTGTCTCTGTGTGCTTCATCTTCGTCTTCGCCGCTCTCATGGAGTACGCCACGCTCAACTACCTGGTGGGAAACAAGAAACCACTGGAGCACAGCCACAGGAAAGCCAGGCTGGTAGGTCAGAGGGGCCAGCAGAGCTGGATGCCCTTACAACCCCAAGCTATTTAAAAATATCCTTCCTGAGCCTGCATTGGAAACTGCTGCTGTGGTTTAGTGCCTGAGCCAGACTGAGTTCAGCCAGTCTTCAGACCACTGTCTGTACGAGGTGAGGCACAACCAGAAAAAGCAGCTGAGGCTCCCTTAAAACAAGGAGACCCCTGACAGAGCCAGGCACCCTGTGCTCTCTTCAGGATTGCTGGAGAGCTTATCAGAACAGCTTAGAATGACTCACGTGGCTGAATGTAAATGCCACTTTAAGACACCTGTGTCATTTTGATCTCTGGATTACAGAGGTATCTTAGGTCACAGAAATGCAGAAACCGACCTTTTTTTTTGTGGTCTTCCACCAGAAGACCTCCTAAGTGTGGGGTAGTGAACCCATTATGGGGATGGTGGTCATCATTCGCCTCATCCTCATCCTCTATCATGAGATCTGCCCGAGCTAATGGCAGGTACTTCTGACCCATGAGCTGAAAGAGGCCTCTGAACTGGGGCAGAACTGAAACAGAAACAGATCTCTTCTGGGCCAGGCTCATTTCCCAGCACATCCCCCATATCCCTCAAAACCCCCCACCCTCATATCCCAGGCCAGAGCTCTTCCATGAGGGTCATGATGGGCTAAAAGGAACCACACGCAGCCTTTCCTCAGCTTTTCTCCAGGAGCTGGCAGCAACCAGCAGACACATCTGGGCTGTGTGCTGTGTCCTCAGAGACAGCTGAGCTGAGGGAAATGAGGGAATTGGCCAGAACAGATCGAACAGGTCGTGTTCTGCACTGACTATTATTGGCACAGATGGGGAATCGGTGCAATCAGACCTTTGCTGAGTAGGGCTGTGCCCTGGGGTGCCAAGAAGAACACTCAGAGTCAGGCAGGGAGCTGCCAGTTCCCCCAGTAGGCAAATGTGGTGATTCACAACCAGGTGCAGAGACTGGGGATGATCCGTCATCCCTCTCCATTGAACTGCACCCGTGATGATTTGATCTACTGCCAGTTGGGTTGGGGTTGGTGTCCAGAACATGTTTTGTTGCTTTTTCCACCCCTTTAACCCTCCTCCCTCTCCCCCTCACAGCCACCTGCCGGTGCACAGGTGATGCCAACCTTCACCACCATCAACATCAACCACATCATGCACTGGCCCCCGGAGATAGAGGAGGATGAGGATGACGACCCCGGCTCCCCGTGCCTGGAGGGAAAGGAATGTGAGAGGTTCTTTTGCTGCATCGAGGACTGCCAGACGGGAATGTGGCGGGAGGGGAGGGTCCGCATCCACATATCCCGCCTGGACTCCTACTCCCGCGTCTTCTTCCCCACCGCTTTCCTGCTCTTCAACATCGTCTATTGGATTGCCTATCTCTATCTCTAGCCCTTCTTTGTCCTCAGCTGGGACAGACTGGGCACCAGCAAGAGGGGCTTCTCAAGGAGCACAGATAGAGAACAGCGTCTCTCCTGTTGTAGTCAGCTGTCAGTCTGAACAACCCGACCTGGTGATTCCCTCTTCCTGCTCTCTCATCTCTTCTGAGAAGAACCAAACAGCTTTTTTTTAGCCTTCTAACATATCTTTTTAGAGAATCTACCCTTCCCCAGACAACCTTCTCTCCAACACCACCAGCACTGTACTCCTTGTAAGATTACCCAAAAACATCCTATTCCCATCTCAAGCATTAGGAATTTTGTCAAAAACAAAAACCTTAATGAGTTTCATTTTTCCATCCAATCCTAATCTGAAATTTCAAGGGAAGTGACGGCAAATGGAGTTTTCTGCATAATTCTTAAGACTGCAAAGGAAATAAAATACATCTTAGGACTTCTGCACCACTTCCACCAGAACAGACTTTGTGGGGTGCTAGAAGCCCAGAAAGGTCAGAAGGAAATAGTGTGGAACAGGACAGCAGTGCAGCTTTCCCACAGGAGCTGGGCTTGGCTAAAACTTTTTGGGCCTGCCCAGACATCTGATGGTGGCACTGACGAGGATGAAGTTGCTGCAAGCCTCCCCCAGCTCCCTGCAGAGTCTCTATGAAGCATTCCTCACGGATCACTCCAGGACACCCACCCACTGAGGCACTGCTGATTGCCATCAGATGCTGATGAAAAGCACTTCACAAGCTGGAAGGGCCCACCTGCCTTACTGGAGCAGACTCTTCAGGGCCCACGGTGACATTCCTGCTGTGTGACCAGGACTCGGAGCAGGCTCTGCACAGCCAAAAGAGGGAAGGAGTTCTGGTGAGAAAGGCCAGGAGAAGCCTCCTGAGCCTGTTGTGAGGTGGTTTTCTTCAGGCTGTGAATCAGAGGGGCAGTGCTGTCCCACGCAGTGACTCTCATTGATGCCACCAGATCTGCGCTGGGTCGTCGGAGCCAACCTGAGGAAGGGGTACAGGAAAGGGAACACACCCAGCTGCTGTGAATTCCTGCAGCTCAGATGTGTTCCCTTCTTTATTTTTTTTTTTCATAATTGCATAAAGCAAGAGTTTTCACTCCAACTGGATGGCCCCTCCCAGTTGCCATCATCACTTGGCCTGTTTCCTCATGAAGTCAGGAAGTGGAGTGAGTTGTCCTTGATGGATTTTAAGAAGGACAAGCGTAGTGAGATGGTCCCATCTTAAAGAGATGGAGAAATGCACAGTTTCAGCTGGGGAGAAACTGCATAATAAAGAAGAGGAAACTCAGGCCCAGGGTCCATATTATGTCAACTGGCTGCCTCCCCATTTACACCAGCTGCTGATGTGGCCCACAGCATGATTGTGAAAAGCAGTGGGCCGTTAATAGTTACTTACTGTGTAAATTAGAAACAGAAAAGATCTTTTTTTAAAAACAGCATGTTTTAGAAAAAAATTAGAACTTAAAAGGCTTGCCAGGAGAAGAAAGCCAGCATGGCTGCAGAGGAAAAGTTAGGAAAGGCTGGCTCACAGGTCAGCTAACGGGGGCAGGAGATTTTACATATTATTGGAGAGCAGTTTGATCTGGTTTAAAGACGGATTTTGACACTGATCTGAATAAGGAAGTGTCATGTTTAATTCATTCACAAATGCAGCCTTACCTGGGTTCCAGATGAACAGCTAGAGCATCTTATTAAGTATACAATAGTACAACACTCAGCTAAGTATAACCTAATAGGGTCAGACCAGCAGAGCTCTGAAAGGGGAAATTGTGCCTGTCTAACCTGTTACAGTTCTTTTAAAATACCAAGTAAGAGATAAAGGTTACTCAGAAGCATAATTTGCTTAGCTACTCCGACAGCTTTTGAAAGGGAGGAAAGAAATTGTGGCGGGCGGTTCTAACTGAGGAAATTGATTTAGCAAAAGAATTATTAAGGAGGTTCTAATTAGAGGAAATTAACTGAGGAGAGGGGGGAAAAAAGAATTGTTAAGGAGGCTCTAATTAGAGGAAATTAATGTTTTAGAGAGAAAGACACAGAGAGGGAGAAGTCTAAGAAAAGAATCAAAACAACTTGCAGACAAGGGAAGCTGCTGGGTGACAGTGCCGACTCCCAGCCAAGCTGGTTGATGCTCTGCTCCCAGTAGCAAAGCGTTATTAGATGTAGCAACAGAAAAACCTCCTATGACTCAGCCCTACACCGACAGGGAGCTGGATTAAACAGGGTCCTGTGATCTCTGTGGGGAGCCAAAAGGAAAGAGCATCCTAGATTAAAACTGGCTCACACGGCAGACTCTGAGTGAAGCACGTCCTCACATTTGGGAAGGCAGCTGTCAGGGGGTGTGTGGGAGGGGACGCCCCGGTGGCAAACCAGGGTCTATGCCAGATATCTCCTCAACAGGATGGTGGCTTGGAAGGTGTGCAGGCAGTGGAGGCTGCTCTGAACCCAGGCAGCAAAATGATGAAGTGCAGCTGAGAAAGGGAAGGTGGAAGGGAAAAATTAACAATGTGCAACGGTGCCCAAATGGCTGCAGTTTGCTGTGGCTTGGAAGCTCTTGGTGAACACACATGATTATCATGGGCACTGGAGAACAGACTTCAGCCCTGAGAGCAGCAACTTGTTGAAATGAGACCTTTTACAAAATCAGCCAGGAGAGAAACGGGGTGTACAAAAACCTAAGAGGATGACGGGGACTCGGACAAAGTAGACTGGAAAGATTGTTAGATTTCACCAACAAAAGATAAAGCCAACACACACCTAGGCAGTTTAACCAATGATGGAGGATTTGACAGAGGAAAATAGTCTAGCGTGGGCTGGAGCACAAGGAAGCTGATTACTAAGGCTGGGGAAGGAGGAGGGAGGGGGCTTTTTGGCTTAGGGAAATCTGTGCCCATCATCCATAGCACAATAAATAAAGGCATGCACAAATTCAATCATGTTTTTAATTTTCTATAGTACCTCGAAAAAAAAAAAAAAGAAAAAAAAGGGAAGCTACGAAAAGCCAAAAAAGAAAAATCTGCCATTCTTTTGAAATTACTTTACAAGGCTCCAGTTTCCTTATGAAAGGTTTTCAGGCTATCAGGAGGGAACGCAGGGCACAGAGACATCCAGTAGCCATGAGTTGCCCTGCTCAGCATGGCCCTGGGAGCTGAGCCCCTCTGTGCCCTCCTAGGCTGGCATTAGACACAGAGCAGCACCATGGGGCTGAGCTGTGCTGCTCTGGGCAGGGAGGACAGAGGCACCAGGGCTGCTGCAGAGCACGTGGGTTGTTTCAAACCACCTGGGTGGCTCTGCTGCCTCCTCCTCCCATGGAGGTTTCAACATTCTCCACTTCCTGGGAATGTGGTGGAGGAGCTTCATCCTGCCAGCCTCACCAGCCAAGTGGGCACTGGGCTTCCCTCACCTGCTGCCTCCCTGGGAGTCACATTCCCACCCCTGCACATCCCCCTGCCGTGGTGAAGACAAACACATCCCAGGCCAGCAGGAGCAGGGCAGTGAGCTGGGGCACTGGGGAGCCCACACCTCAGCTCCTGGGGGCAGCTTTGGAACAGGGATGGGGAAAGGTCTGGAGCACAAGGTGATGAGGGGAAGCTGAGAGAGCTAAGGGGGCTCAGCCTGGAGAAAAGGCGGCTCAGGGGGGACCTTATTGCCCTCTAGAACTCCCTGAGAGGAGGGTGTGATGAGGGGTGGTCTCTTCTCCCAGGCAAAAAGAAACAAAGAGAAAATATGCTGTAGTTGTGCCAGGGAAGGTTTAGGGATATTAGGATATTAGGGAATGAGGGAATATTGGATATTAGGGAAAATTTCTTCATTGGAAGGGTGGTCAGGCTGTGGAAGAGGCTGCCCAGGGCAGTGGTGGAGTCACCGTCCCTGGAGCTGTTTAAAAGGTGTGGAGATGTTACTTGGGGAGATGGTTTAATGGAGTTCTTGGCAGTGTTAGATTTACATTTGGAGACAATGATCATAAAAGGTCTTTTCCAACCTAAATGATTCTATGATTCTATCACTCTACTATCTCAATATCTAATGATGGGGACTGGAAATTATGATCTCAGCATTTATGTCTTGTGGCCTTTGTTTGGAATATAAAAGGAAATCAGGAAAAAGGTTGATTTTTCATTTCTCCACCTCCAATTCCTATTCTTCCCCTCCAAATTATGCCAGATAAGGAACCATTTTTAGCCTGTATGCTCTTCAGGACAGGGATTCTGTTACTGTGTGTTTGTACTGGGGCTGGCACTCTGGGGCTTGGTCCTTGACTGAGATTTCTGGATGCTTCTTATTATACATAATAAACAACATTATACACTGCCCATCCTCACCACTGTCTGTCTACACCTTGTGAGAAGGGTAAAAATTATCCCCTCTCCCCCTCCTGATGGGGTTACTGGAGCTGGTGGATTTATTTATTTCCCCACAGAAAATTATCTTGTTGGAAAGTAGGGAAAAAGTGTCACTGATATTTTTGATGGGCGGTGGATATTTTTGGGTTTGTTGTTTTTCTTCAAGAAAGGCAGAAGTTGCTTCAGGTCAGCACTGCTCAGGAGCAGCCTCAGCCATTTAAAGCCATCATTTGTAAAGCAGGAGAAGGCCTTGCTTGTTCCCCTCAGCCTGATGCCATTGTAAATAAAATAACTGATGCTCCCCCAAGTGTCTTGGGGTGGAGGGAGTTTGGCAGTGATATTTGGTGGGCTTTATTTCAGCCTTTCTATATCCCCACTCCTGCTTTTGGAGCCACCATAACCCAAAGGACAACCCCAGCTCTGGAGAAGGCCTGGCTCACAAGCCACCCCCTTGTCCCTGGGCCCACGCAGCCACATCTGCTCCACTTTAACGTTTTAATCATTTTTTTCCCCCATTCCTGCCCCACTTTTGCATGCCAGTGGAGGCATTGCTGTTTGTTGAGGCACAGGGAGGGAAGGTGCTGCTTTCTGAGTGCCCTGGGGAGAGACCCCTGGCTTGGCACCAGCCCACAAATGGAGCACCCCCACCTCTCCCTGGCACACTCTGTGTCCCTCCAAGATTTAGCAGTTCCCAAAATGTT